GAAGATTTAAGCCCAGTCTTGGGCAGTTTAGGAAGGTTCTGTCCAAAAAAAAAAATCAAGCCAGGTGTGGTGGCACATACCCATCTCAGCTGAGGCTGAGGCAAGAGGATTGCCAGTTCAAGGCCAGCCTGGGCTACGTAGTGAGACGCTGTCCCAAATAAATAATCAAGGACTGGGAATATAGCTCATTGCAAAGGCACTGGGTTAAATCCTCAGACGGGAGGGGGGAGTGTTTCTAATTATTAAAAAAAAAAAAAAAAAAAGGCTGGGGACGGAGCTCAGGGCCGGGGCGCAGGATTGAATCCCCACTGTCGCAAAGTGAGTAAGTAAATACCCAGAGTGAGCGGTTCCTCGGTACTGATCTGCTCTAGTAACCCTGAGTAAAGCCCAAAGCCCAGCAGCTGCCCCACCTCCTTAGAGCCGCTTCCTGGTTCAGGCCCCGCCCACTGTGGGCACACAAACCTGGGCCCTGCTAGCAGAGGGACCCCCAGCTTGGGAGACAGAGACCACAGCCACAACAGACAGGGACTGCAAGGACACACACTGTGCTACTATTCCCGGGGAAGAACGCTTAAAGAGCCTCACGTGGTGTCCCGCGCCTCTAGGGCCTGGCCGCGGGAGCTCACCAGTGCGAGGCCAGCCTGCCCGAGCCAGTGAGAGACCCCACCTCACTAAAGGGCTGGGGAGGTAGCTTAGTTGTCAGACACTTGCCCAGCACGCACAAGGCCCTGGGTTCAGTTCCCGGCACCAGAAGAAAAGGAAGAGTGGTGAAGAGTTCACATTCAGAAAATCAAAATGGGCTGGGGATTTAGCTCAGGGGCACAGCGCCTGCCTGCCCAGCTCGAGGTCTTGAGTTTGATTCCCGGTACCAGAAACAAACCAAAAACAAAAACAAAACAAAAAAATCAAAACAACAGAAACAAAGCACATGAAACCAGGTGTGGCGTGCAGCCTGTAACATCAGCACTGCGGAGGCTGAGGCAGGAGGATCGCTGTGAGTTCGAGGCCATCTTGAGCTGCATAGTGAGACCCTCTGTCGAAAAGACCAAAAAAAGTACATAAAAACTAGCAAGATGGTAGAAATAGGAAACAACTCACGTTGGAAGTGAAATATTAAAAATTTTTTCAGGGGGCTGGGGATTTAGCTCAGTGGCACAGCACCTGCCCAGCAAGCGCAAGGTCGTGAGTTTGATCCCTGGTACCTGAAAAAAAATAAAAAAATTTTCAGAATGTTTTAAAATGGAAAAATTAGTAAAGATAGAAATATTAGAGGCAGCTTGGAGATGCAGATCAGAGGTAGAGGGTTTGCCTCGTGTGTGCAAGGTTCTGGGTTTGATCCCCAGCCCTGAGAGAGAAAAAAAGTCCAAAAACTTCTAGGAAGGGACGGATCTCACACAAAACAAAAGGCTATGCATCCAGAAGACTTAAGACTTCCAAAGACGCCACACCTGCAAAAATCCCCTTGGGAAATCAGCTCTGCTGTAGCAGCCTGTACTCGGTGAACCCATTCAGAGACAGAGTAATCTCAGAGATGCAAGATTAGGGGGGAAAATGACTTCGTGCTTTCTGCGGGTGAAGTTTCACCACAGCGGACAGGAAGCTGGGTGGGTAGAGTACACGGGCCCCATACAGGAGGGGACCGTGCAGCCCGCCTAGGCTAAGGCAGCGGGTCAGTTTGGGGCAGATTTAGAAGCTTGAAGGCAGCGCAGGGGGCCACACCTGGAGCGGACAGATGGACCACGTCGGGCAAAGGCACTGTCTCGCTCTGGTGAGACCCGCACCCCGCTATGGGGCCCGAGCCTGCGGAGCGCGTGTGAAGGCGCAGGAGAGGTTTGACCCTCTTCCTGCACCGTCCTGGCCAGAGCCTCCTGATCCAGAACAACTCTAGGGAATAGGAATGAAATTGGGGGCCGGGGCTATAGCTCGGTGGCACGGCGCCTGCCTGGTAAGCGCAAGGTCCTGAGTTTGATTCCCGGTACCAAAAAAAAAAAAAAGTTTGGCAATTTTTGGGCCGGGGATATAGCTCAGCGGCACAGCGCCGTGCTTGGCAAGCACGCGGTCCTGAGTTCGATTCCTGGTACTAACGAGACAAAGACTGAAATTGGCCTGCCGTCCCAGCACTCTGGGAGGCTGAGACAGGCGGAGCACGAGTTGGAGCCCAGCCTGAACAATTTAGTATGTCACAGAACAAAAAATAGAAAGGGCTGAGGACGCAGCGCTTGGGTTCAGTCCTCAGTATGCAAATAAATAGGTGAAATCTAAGAGGAATTGCAGGCTTGCGGGTCTCGCAAATGCGCACCGCCCTGGAAGGAAGCTGGTCGCTGCCCTTGCTTCTCCCCCGGTGGCCGGGGAAAGAGTCTTGCTTCTTCGCTTTTCCCTCTTGCGTTTGTACCGCTGCCTTTGCGGCCTCTCCCCGTGCGTCCGGATCTGCTCGGTGGTCGGCTCGGTGAAGGGCGCGGCTGGGGGGCGGGGTCCGCCCTGACGCGCGCCCCGCCCCCAGGTGGCCAAGACCAAGCAGCAGATCGAGGAGCAGCGCGTGCAGGTGCAGGTGGTGGAGCGCGCGCAGCAGGTGGCGCTGCAGGAGCAGGAGATCGCGCGCCGCGAGAAGGAGCTGGAGGCCCGGGTGCGCAAGCCCGCCGAGGCCGAGCGCTACCGGCTGGAGCGCCTCGCCGAGGCCGAGAGGTGAGGCCTGCCCGCCCGGCCGCGCCCTCTCCCGGGGCCCGGGCTCCCCTCATCGCGCCGCGCTTTTCCCCTGCCCAGGTCCCAGCTGATCATGCAGGCAGAGGCCGAAGCAGAGTCCGTGCGGGTGAGTTAGGCAGGCTCCCCCAGCGTGCGCAGGCAGGCTCGCTGAGGGGACTGGGTTTCTTTTTGAGACGGGGTCTCGCCGTGTAGCCCAGGCTGGCTTTGAATTCAGCGATCCGCCTGCCTCAGCCTCCCGCAGTGCTGGGTCCCCAGGCGCGCCGCCACGCCCGGCGTCCCAGCCTTCACACGGGTCCCTGTCCCGACTCAGATGCGCGGGGAAGCCGAGGCCTTCGCCATCGGGGCCCGCGCCCGCGCCGAGGCTGAGCAGATGGCCAAGAAGGCAGAAGCGTTCCAGCTGTACCAGGAGGCGGCGCAGCTGGACATGCTGCTGGAAAAGCTGCCCCAGGTGTGGGGCGGGTGTGGGTGGCGGGACAGAGGGACCGGGACTGGGCCCTGAGCAGCCAGTGAGAGAGGAACGGAGCCAGCCAGGGGCCGTAAACGACTGGTGGGAATTAACGTCCGGGAGCAAGGGTCCGTGGGATGCGGGTCCTCTTGCGGGCTGCGTGGGCAGAGCGCGGCACTCAGCGGCCCCGTCCTCTGCCAGGTGGCGGAGGAGATCAGCGGCCCCCTGACCTCAGCCAAGAAGATCACGCTGGTGTCCAGCGGGAGTGGGGCCATGGGGGCCGCCAAAGTGACTGGGGAGGTGCTGGACATCCTGAGCCGCCTGCCCGAGAGCGTGGAGAGACTCACGGGCGTCAGCATCGCCCAGGTGAGGGGCGTGGTGCGCGCGCCTGTGCCCCAGACGCGGCGGCCCAGCGCGGAGCAGCACCCGCGGGCCGGTCACCAGGTCACCAGATCCGTGCGCGTCCACAGATCTTCTGTTTTAAGTCAAACTAGCGTTAGAGCACGTATAAAGGTGCTGAAGTGGGCACCAGACAGAAGCCTCTGGGATGGCATGGTCCCAGGGGGGGCTGGGGGGGCGGAGTCCCCACTGCCCAGGTGTCACCTCCTCTTGTCTTTCCCCAGGTGAACAGTAAACCCTTGAGGACGGCCTGAGCCCTCAGCTGCTCCTTTGCAGGGCTCGGTTGCCTGATTGGCCCTGCTGTTGCACGCCCCCCAGTGACCTCCTTAGCATGTCCTCTGAAAGTGGGGTCCCTCGTCACTCCTCACACAGCCTGTGCCTTGCCTGGGTTGGGGCTGCCTCCCCGCAACACTGCCTGGATGCCAGGGTCCACAGGCTGCCCCACCCCGATGTATGTGAGTTCCTACCTGAACCAGGTGCACCCTGCTTTCTGTGGTTTTCTTGCCTGAGATGGGAGGCCAGTCTGGAGGTACCTGCCAAATAAACTGCTGTCAGCAAGTTCTGTTCCTTAAGAAAGGTAATAAAACCGAACCAACCCGAAGTGAACACTGGGGCTGGGGATACAGCTCAGTGGCACAAGCGCCTGCCTGGCAAGTGCGAGGTCGTGAGTGTGAGTCCTGGTACCAAAAAGCAGCAATAACAAAGCGAACGTGAATGCTGCAGTGCAGCCCCTTACACCAATCGGCTTTCTAGACTTCGAGAAGTTCTAGTAGCACTAGCTGCACCTCTAGTTCACTAGAACAAGTTCTCCTTGCACTGTTCAGAGCTGTGAACACTGAAAAAACTGTTCATTTTTTTCCCCAAAAGTTGTCTTTGGTCAGAAAAGTGGGCTATGGTGGAAGTAGTGTTGAGAATTGCATTCGTTCGTGGAATTACTGAAGTCATAGCCATGTGACAGTAGTAAATACAGCCTCCCTGGATGCCCACATACAGAATGGCTCAGTGTCTGCTCGTAACCTGTGCATGGCCCCTTTAAGGTCCTCTCTCAGCCAGGGATGGAGGTGCAGACCGGAATCCTAGCACTGAGGGCTGAGACAGTTAGCAAGACCTTGTCTCTGTGACAAAAGCCTGGGGGCATGATTCAGTACAAAGGCCCTAGACCATCCCCAGTACCAAAAAACGCCTCTACTTACAATGCTTATTACAATGTGAATGCTAGGTAGCCTTGTTACGCTTTGTAGTATTACAGTGTGAATACTACTGGAGGTGTTAGGCCATTCCCTAGAGAATGACCAAAAACACCTGCTACATGTTCAGTACAGCTGCTACTTTTTGGCTGTGGTAGTGCACACCTGTAATCCCAGCACTCCCAAGGCAGGAGGATGGCCGAAGAGTCTGAGGCCAACCGAACTACATAGACAACCTGTCTCAAAAAAAAAAAAAAAAAAAGTATTTCCTTTATAGTGGTGCTGAGAATTGAACCTGGGCCTTTTTTAGACACTAAGCAAGTGCTTTATCATTGAGCTGTGTGCCTAGCTTTCCCACATTTTCTCACAATGGCTGGATACGGAGGGCTAAGGAAGCTTCTAGGGGTAGCTCTGACACATCTTTGGGCGTGAGGTAGGTAGCATTTCCTTGGATCTTCTGGGCTCTTGGCAGAGCTTAAAGGATCAGAGAAACCCAAAGGGACCTTGGATGGGCCACAGTACTGGAAAGGGCATACCAGGGGTTTTCTGTCTCTAATATTCAATGTGAATTTCTTGGAGTAACCCCAGCACTCAGCAGGCTGAAGCAGGAGGATCACTGGAAGTTCACCTATGAGCTTTCTAACAAGACCCTGTCTCAAAAAGCTCCCGAGATGCAGATAATGCACGGACATTCCCCAGGGGCCTCACCTCCCATCCCAAGATCCTGCTTCTGAGCATATGCTTATCCAAGCCTGACATGTAGCTGGTGCTGGAGGGCAAGGTGGGCTGAAGGGAGGATGAGGCTTTTGAGGGGACCAGTGTTGTAACTGAACTTAGGCCCTGCACCTGCACAGGCCGTCCTCCCTCAATGAGCACACATACCGCAGCTGGTTTTCTGAATTCCCATTTATTTTTGGCGCTCGGGGCAATGTCTCTTTTCAATATGAAAAAAAGCAACTTCAACACAAAATAGAAATCAAGTGTAGGACAGGACAAAATCAAGGGTGAGGGCAATAGCAAGAGATACCACAAAGAGGGCCCCTCCTGCCCCAGGAAGTGACCAGAGCAAGAAGGTGGGGTGTGCACCTCCTGACACCTTGGCTGAGATTCCCTCCGGGATGGAAGGTAGGAGGGGTGCTTTGGAGGGCGGCAGGCTCTGCGAAGGGAAACACACGCTCTGGACAGAGGTACAGGACGTGCAGCTAATACTGTGCACCTGTCTCCAGGGCTAAGGTGGGCATGGAAAGCCTGGGTTCCCCTTTCCCACCTGTCCTGGAATGGAAGTCCCACCCCCTCCCCCAAGCTGACCACCACCCTCTGCCTGATGGTGGCTGTTCCATGGGTTTTTAGCACCTGGCTGGCTTTAAAGGGGATTTGGAAGAGACCCAGCTATCTTGGGGATTCTGAGAACAGGAATGTTAACTGGACACATGTGAAAAGTGGGTGCCAGCAGAAAATACAGGGTCACCTACAATGACAAGAGGTCTAGGTTTGCCAGAGCAGAGAGAAAGAAGAGACATCCAACAAACAAGTATTTATTGAGTGCCTACTATGTGCCAGGCACTGTTCTACACCCCCAAAAGAAAAAAAAAACAAGATAGAGGCAGCAAACAAATTGTGAAGGAGAGGGGCAGCGGAAGGCGGCTGAGGAAGTAAGGAGCCTGAGGTGACAGGGGACTCCGGCTTAGGCCTCCTCTTCGGCCTCCTCCCCGAAATCCTCTTCCTCCTCTGCAGTGGCGTCCTGGTACTGCTGGTACTCGGACACCAGGTCATTCATGTTGCTCTCGGCCTCGGTGAACTCCATCTCGTCCATGCCCTCGCCCGTGTACCAGTGCAGGAAGGCCTTGCGGCGGAACATGGCCGTGAACTGCTCCGAGATGCGCTTGAACAGCTCCTGGATGGCCGTGCTGTTGCCGATGAAGGTGGCTGCCATCTTGAGGCCGCGCGGTGGGATGTCGCACACGGCCGTCTTCACGTTGTTGGGGATCCACTCCACGAAGTAGCTGCTGTTCTTGTTCTGCACGTTTAGCATCTGCTCGTCCACCTCCTTCATGGACATGCGGCCCCGGAAGACAGCGGCCACCGTGAGGTAGCGGCCGTGGCGCGGGTCACAGGCGGCCATCATGTTCTTGGCGTCGAAGACCTGCTGGGTGAGCTCGGGCACGGTGAGGGCCCGGTACTGCTGGCTGCCGCGGCTGGTAAGTGGGGCAAAGCCGGGCATGAAGAAGTGCAGGCGCGGGAAGGGCACCATGTTCACGGCCAGCTTGCGCAGGTCTGCGTTCAGCTGGCCAGGAAAGCGCAGGCAGGTAGTGACGCCGCTCATGGTGGCGGAGACGAGGTGGTTGAGGTCCCCATAGGTGGGTGTGGTCAGCTTGAGGGTGCGGAAGCAGATGTCGTACAGCGCCTCGTTGTCGATGCAGTAGGTCTCGTCTGTATTCTCCACCAGCTGATGGACAGAGAGGGTGGCGTTGTAGGGCTCCACCACGGTGTCGGACACCTTGGGCGAGGGCACCACGCTGAAGGTGTTCATGATGCGGTCTGGGTACTCCTCGCGGATCTTGCTGATGAGCAGGGTGCCCATGCCCGAGCCGGTGCCGCCCCCCAGCGAGTGGGTCAGCTGGAAGCCCTGCAGGCAGTCACAGCTCTCGGCCTCCTTCCGCACGACGTCCAGGACTGAGTCCACCAGCTCAGCCCCCTCTGTGTAGTGGCCCTTGGCCCAGTTGTTGCCTGCCCCTGACTGACCTGGAATGGGGTCAAGAAGAAAGCTTAGTGTGCAAGGTGTGGAAGACATGATTTTTCTAACCTTCAACCTCTGCTATAACTGACCTAGTTTCCTTTCTTACCTGTAGTGGAGACTCCCCAGAATCTACCCAAAGAGCCAGGCACCACCTCCACCCCCACTTCAGAACACAGCTCTTTGCTGGACATGGTGGGATTACACACCTGTAATCCCTGCCCTTGGGAGGCTGAGGCAGGAGGATCTTTGCCAGTTTGAGACCAGCCTAGGCTACAAAATGAGCTCAAGGTCAGACTGAATTGCATGGTGAGACCCTGTCTCAAAAAAACAAAAA